CTCCGATACGGACCCGCCGTGCCGCCTCCTGGGTTTCGGCACCAATGTGGCGTGAATAAGGCACGGCGGGACCACGGAGCAACGTTCAGAGCCAACTTTATTTTATTCTCGTCACACCACACACACCAATCCCTGAGTCCCCGTGTTTTAACACGGCGGGCGTGATTGCAGATGCCGTGCAGGTGCGTCCGCACGGCACCGCAAACCACGCCCCACCACAGTAGGTTCTTTGCCTACAGATAAAAGCCAAGCATTACTCCATATTTGGCTCTAAGAAAGGCACAGGGGTCATAAGCCAGCATGCTCCTAGCACAGGTCCTAAGCCTGGATAAACGAGGAGGGCATCGAGGACATTCAGCATAACATCTTTGCCAAATCAAACATACAGATCACCAAGAATCAGCATTCATACCAGATCGATCTGGGCCTGGGTCAACCATGACACCCTCCAGGGCTGGTGCCAACAGGGTGGAAACACTGGAAAAAAGGGATTGGCCGTCTCGTGGATTTATGTAAGCATCTTGTGTCATGCTTTAAAGTTAAGTGTAACTATGTAGTGTAGAAACTACATGATATGCAGAGAGGGTAGATTAAATTATTCATATCGTGCTCGAGTGAAGTAAGTACGGTGGCCCTGAGAGGCCAAACAGACAGCAACTTCAGAAAACACTTGCAAAAAGAAAAATGCTGCAAAAGCACACAAGACACAATGGAAATGTTTCTGGGGAGACGATAACCAGACGGACCAGTTGCACGAACCAAGGAACTCGAGACACTTCAAAGAAGTGAAGGAGAGGTAAATGTGTTGTAATTTGATCATTCTTATCATACTACAGATATGTTTGCAGTGTTGGGGAGTAACAGAGTACATGAACCACCGTCACGTATTTAAAATATAAAACATGAGTAACTGTATTCCGTTACAGTTACCGTTTAAAAAGGTGGTAATCAGAATACAGTTACTTTAATGAAATAAATGGATTACACGGCGGTCTTTTCCTGTTACATATGTTAGGCTGTCCCCTCTCTGGTTCCAAACAAAACACGCATTCAGAGGCTCTGATGTCTGTGTCTCAGTCTCGCGGCCCATGTTACCTCTACTTGCGGCCTGCATAATGACGTGAAGAAATATTTTCAATAATTATTATTTAAAAAATGATTTAATATGAAGGCAACAGGAAGTGTTA